CTTCTTTAGAGAAGGAGCTTACCCTTGAATATGTGAAAGTCTTGAAATTGGAGGAAGATTTATGGTTTATGAAATCCAGGTCTAACTGGATTGTTGATGGGAATCGTAATTCCAAATTCTTCCATTTATCTACCATTAAGCATCGGAATCATAATAGAATCTTTGGCCTTCGTACCTCGGATGAGGATTGGATTTGTGATCAGCAGGCTATTGTAGATCTTATCAGGAATCATTTTATGCATCTTTTTACCTCTTCTCTTGATTACTCTTATCATGATTCTTTCTCTAATCTGGGAATTGGTATCTCGGAATCCCATGACTTAAGCTTTCTAGACAACCCTCTTACTGATGAATAGATACATAGTGCTCTTTTTGGTCTTAAGCCTTTTAAGCCTTCTGGACCTAATGGTCTTCATCTTGGTTTCTTCCAAAAAATGTGGGTTTCAGTGAGGAGTATTTTGTGTAGTGACATTCGCAACACTTTCTCCTCGGCTTCTCTCCTTGCTAAATGGAATGAATGTTTAATTACTCTTATTCCCAAAACTAAAGCTCCTGAAACAGTTCAGCAGTTTCGTCCTATTGGTCTCTGTAACACTACCTATAAAATTATCTCCAAGATTATTGTGAATAGGATGAAACCTGCATTAGATGATTTGATATATCCTTGCCAAGCTAGCTTTGTTCCTAGTAGAAATGGTATTGATAATGTGCTAATCCTGTAGGAACTTGTTCATTCCTTTTCTAAGAGGAAAGGTCGGGTGGGGGATATGGTGGTTAAACTTGATCTCGAAAAGGCCTATGACAGGCTAGAATGGAGCTTCATTAGAGAAGCCGTAACTTTCTTCAAGTTCCCACCAAAATTCATATCTCTTGTTATGAGTTGTGTTTCCTCTTCTACTATTTCAATTTTGGTTAATGGTGATAAAACTTATGCTTTTCTTCCTTCTAGAGGCATCCGACAGGGTGATCCTATCTCACCTTACTTGTTCATCCTATGCATGGAATACCTTTCTATCAAACTTTCCAATGATATGGCTGAAGGCAAATGGAAGGGTTCTAATGTGGGTAAGCGTGGACCTACTTTATCTCATATTTTTGTCG